GATGCCGAATTGCTTCTCGTTCTGATTGTTATCCGTTTGGTGAAGGCCTTCTCAAAACTCTCCGGTTGCTGGGTAAAATCGTGAAAAGAGACTGGCAACACTAGGACAAATTTTTGCAATATCGTTTTTTGCTCTTGCTTTCTTTATGGCTGCGATTTCATTTGCTCTGTACGAACCCTCGGCAAAGCTAATCAAAGCTGGCATTGATCGGTCACATCCGAGCTGAATGGTAGTTTTTTCCCACGGACGCTGACTTTTGATACTTTGGGTTGAGAGATTTCTTTTAAGTTGCGGAGAAGGTGTGATTTACGTAGGTGTTACACGTGCGAGTTTCTTCAACTGTTCACAGCATTAATCAACACCAACTAGTCAAAACACGCCGTAAACAAATTCACCATTCATTGTTTTACGGCTGCTGTCTCTTTTTAGTTCCTACTTCTTTTTTGCTCGTTATATCCTGCATTTATTTGTATACCTTATCGTGTTTTCCATATTTGCAGCTTGTATTTACCGCGAACTTCCTAAACGCATACTTTCGCTTTGTCGCTTCTTGAAGTTTCTTAACTGGAAGGGCTGTCCTCAGGAGAACTAGGGCTTCGATCAGCTTTGCAAACTCCCCTTTTCTTACGCTTACAACCGATCTGGTCCATAAATACACCCATGAATATGCTCTTGCGTTTAAAAAGCAGCGTTTATGATAAGCGACTTGGGAATACTAAAAAAGGAAAAAATGGAGGGAATGCTGAAGTAGCTGAATATACGATATGCAAAGCCTGGCGATAGTGTTTACGGTTAGTATTGAAGGTGTGTTTGTGGTAGGAATATTGCGCTCCGAAGTGGGTAGAAAACTATAACTGCCGAGAAATGTCTCAAATTTACGGGTAGGTCCCGAAATTTGCCCACCAAAGGGACCAGTGAGAGAAAACAGAACGGAACACACCCACTTGCTCATCGTGTTTCTTTCTAGTTCTGACTTCTTCATTGTACAGTTTTTCCATGGCACATAAAATTTTGTGTTCTCATTTTTCGTTAATCTAAGGTAGAAGTAAAAGAATGTTCAATGTTACTTCATAGATGAGCTTGTTCATTTCGCTTCTGATTCTCGTGTAGAGGGCAGGCTGTATTTGGCCAGTACGGGTTCTTGTCCATTGCTTTGCAAGTCCTTGCTGGCTATATGCTCACGCTTTCTCGGTGAAAGTGACTCCTACAATATAGAAGCAATCAATTCTCTAAGGGGAATTTCAAATGATACTATTTATTTCGGAAAGTTGTGCTAAATTACACAAAGCCCTCTCAAGAAACTTAATCGGGAAATGTTCCACCTTCTCGCTCAAGTGGAGGGGGGGGGGGGGGGGGG